TTATGTTTAATGTCGCACAAACTCGAAGATCTACTGGCAAAACCAACAATTTGGCAGAAGAGGCAGGGCAGCGAATATGGGACTTCAAGTGAACGCAGAGAAGATAGAGGTGACGATGATACCCAACCAACATCATCACCACCACCACTAACAACAACAACAACAACAACGATAACAAGAAGAAGCTCCAATCACCATCGATGGGAGAAACTTAAAGGAAGTAATCTCTTTCACCTACCTGATGGAGGCAGTATCGTTTCAAATACAGGCGGTACAGATGAGGACGTTTAAGCCAGGATGGGAAAGACAGCAAGACAGGCATTCATTAACGTGAAACCAGTGTGGAGATCTTCTGCACCACACTCAGCATAAAGCATGAACAAGATCCAGATTTTCAACACCAATGTCAAGTCAGTGATTCTGTGTGGTTCAGAAACTTGGTGTGTCACGAAAGGCATTTCCAACAAACTACAGACACTCATCAACAGGTGCTGCCAACGCTGGCTCCATACTGAAAATCAGATGGCCAGAATAATAAGAATAAGCAACAAGGAACTCTGGATGTCAACATACTAGCCAAGATCCTATCACTCAACAAATATGCAGGAGAAGAAAGTGGAGATGGATTTGATTGGGCACACACTGAGAAGGCGGACTGGGGAGATCACGTGGCATGGCAGGTCGTTGAGTGGAATCGGAAAGGGGAAACGACGAGTTGAGCGTTTGAGGTGAGGCTGACCTGGAGGGGATGGTTTGAGGAAGAAATGAGAGCTTGTTGGCAGTCATGGCGCCAGGTTGAAAAGACTATATATAAGAGAATGCAATGAAGGCGTGCTATTGATGCCCTATATTCCACTAGGAATCCATGGGACTAATAATAATAATAAATAATAATATTATGCAAAGCGGTCCATAAATATTTGGCGAAACCAGAAGACCGACACTGTGTATACCATCACCAACATTCAAACAAATATAACATGAACCATAAACACAATAAGCTGTCTGTTACCATTCTTGACTATTTGAGCCGTGGTTTGGAGACTAGTATTGTTACTGGGTGATGAGTGAAGGTGGAGTGAAAATTTGGGCCGGTGAAAGAATCGAACCAGTGACCACCGAGTTTCCTGATCGATGCTCTGGCAACTGAGGTACGAGGTCAAAGTGCATAGGATCGGAAACCTGGTGGTACCTGGTTTGAATCTGGCCACTGTCTAAATTTTCCTTCCATCTTTAGTTATCACTCAGTAACAAAGCTATCTGTTGTTACTTAAAACATTACCAAGAAAAAGAATATCATAGATGCATATATTGCATGAATGATTTCTTACGTAAGTTGGGAAAAATGTGAAGCACGACAATGATGTAGAAGAAGTATGGCCATTCACCCATCGATGTTGATTTGATGGATGGATGGATGGCACACAAAATTAATGCAGCACTTATCAAGATACAAAAAAATGGCCAACTCATTCAAAATAAGCAAAGATGCTGACTAAGATAAACACACATTCCAAGACCAAATACATTAAAATTACATCCATGAGGAACTGTGTGCTCAAAAAAATGAGATGATGGATAGTCATCCAATACTATTCCAAATTAGCCCAATTATGTAAGCATAACACAAATTATTCACCACTAAATCATAATATATAACTTCATATTCCTGATAAGAAATCAAACTGACGCGTAGAAAATAACATGAAAAGCTTATTATCAACCAGGTCGATAATCACGTCAGATAATATACAAAATTATATTCTATTTGGTGAAGACTCAAATGTCAGAAGCCTTCCATGGGCACGTCAAGTTTCGAAAAGAGCAGTTAGAAGTAAAATTGTCACAAAAGCTCCATGCAGAAATGAATATGTTTCTTTACAGACATATGTGTATAATTAAATTGAAACGACAGTTCGCCACAACGCTTTGATTTGATCTGACCCGTCTGACGGTGGCTAAATGTGGTCTGGAAAAAATATGATATCACTCACTTACCCTAATTAGCAATTCTTCTCTTCACAATGTTTTTCAGATAAATTTCTACCCTCACACCTGCATAATAGTCATTAGGTCAACTTTATTTTATTTGTCATACATAACAAAGACTCTTAACCGAGTCACTGACTGTTCTAACTGCAACTCACAAACTGACTTATAACGTTGTATACATTACCAAAATGTAGATTAAAATCATAGGTTTATCAGAGTTTCCACTACTCAATTTTGCTTCTTCTTCCATCTTGAACATTTCACGAGTGTACCAGAAATCAAAATTCTATGTGTCCTACCTAGTCAACTCAAATTGTGTATGTCTACATACATCTAACAACTTAGCAGTCGAGAATATCAAAATCCAACCAGCAATGACATACATGTTACGCTGTCTTGAAGTAATAACGTTAACTTTCTACAGACAAATAAGTTTGAATGTGGATAGATCACCGGAATTTCACATCGAATCGATGGTGATGATTTGATAGTGTTAGCCTAACTGAAGACGAGCACTTAATCACAAACAACAGAGGTAACTTTTTTCAGTCTCAGAGTAAGAAATGTTTGGATACAGTATTTGAGTGAACTGAGCTTAACCATCACTAATTTTCACTGAAATCAATTTTGACATGTCTCAATCCCACCTATTCTCAGATATTGTATACGAATTTGATTCTCGTAGATTGACATAGGATTATTCCATGTTAGTTTCATTGATATATATATGAATGCTACAAAATGAGGAAACATCACACACTGCACAACTTACTGAATACAATCTGTTCTCTGCACTTGCATCAAAATGAAGTCATCGAATGTCGCCTCACAAGAATTCAGCGTATTAATCATATACTCACCTATGGACTATCTACACCAGTTGACACCACCTTATTCTTCAGTATCATTGAGGATGCTATTTAATTTTCTCACCTTCCCGTAAATATTTTTATTTAGACACTGTCTTTTTTGTGTTAACTGTAGTGACTGCAGAAAATAGCTATTTTTATGAAATATCATACATGACATGCTGTCTTGAACAGTGACATTTCTGACAAACAAAGTGACACAGAATTCTGTGTTGTATCTAATAATTATTGTATGGAGTGTAGGGATAATCACTGCCATCATTATTTTTATCATCATTATTGGTGTTTTAAAGAAATATGTAATTTCACTTAAATCTTCTAGTAGGACCAAAATTCAACTGTTGGCAACGTGCAGTTTGATTCGTCACAGTATTGGATAAAAAAAATCAGAACTGTAATGCAGCGCATTCCATCTAACTATATGCTACAGATTATGGACAGAAAGAATTCAAGTAATTACTATCACTAATTATCTTTTCTATTGTGAACATGGACTGATTATTTGTGTTACGTGCTTGAATGCATATGTATACATGTCTGCATCGATTACTTATATTTGGTATCAACATATGAATTAAATTTTCATCTTAAGTTTCCTAAGCATCATCGTCGATTTATGTTTATTCCTTTAATTGTACAGCCTTTGCGCTTTCGATAATTTATTGATATAGATAATCACGAATATGAAATATAGAACGTATTTAATAATTTTTTTAAAACACTTTGACGCTCATAATTCTTGATTGTATATTGATCTTGGACTTCAGTTTATCCGTGTTCAAATTATTTTCTATTGAAATAGGATTAAAATTTTTTTATCTGGAGTAATTTTTCAATTCTTTTAGGCGTCTCTTTGACTTTATCTAAGGGGCCTATTGAGTCCTGTAATGAATATGCCATAATCTTTTGTTTTAATTATTGTTTAGACGGGTGACTTTATTTAAACTCATTTGGAAACTGTCTATATGCTTATAATATGTTTCTCGCGAACGTCGCTTCCTGCATAAACCTTAATTATTTATACTACTGAATTGGTGCTTTCAATATTGGATACTTTTTGATTTCCTTTTGTTACTTTCACTAGACTATGTATCTTTTGAAAAGATAGTTTGAGATTACTTTAGATTTCATTTATATTTTAGTGATTTGACAATGGCCTTCAAGGGAATCTCATTTATGTCTTTCATCCTATTCAAGACTCATAACCTATGTGCACTTGCATTCGAACGTTTTTTTTTCATTAGAACTCTAACCTGTCTTCTGCTATCCTCTTTCGAATACCGTGAAACTGAGATTAAATGCAGCAGCTAGGCTTTCATTTTGAGAGCCTACATGCTAACTATAATCAAGTAGTGCTCCACATAAAAATAGCTCTGTTGGGTTACTAGGTATAACAGCTCATAATTATTATTGTGCAATATGTGTTATTCGTGACTGAGAAGCTCGGTGGACAACTCTTTAGCCTGTCAAGTGATATTTATTTTCTTCAGTTTTCATTAAGAACAGCAGCACTAGGTAATTTTAAAAGATGATAAACTACATACTGCAGATATCAGTGCTGATTAAGATAAAGGAAATCAGATTAAAATAAGCTTTCTTTTTTGTTTTAGCTTGAGTTGTACTCAGTCAGTCTATAAAGAAAATCAGTTCATCACTTGTTGCTGCAGTTGCTGAACATTATTCTCAAAGTAAGGATGAAGATAAGCTCCTTTTCTTCAAAGTGAGGCATGTTGCAACAAATGATAATGAGAGTCATTGATACAAAGACTTAACACAAACTAAGAGACTAAGGGAGTATGAAATAACAAATGGTCAGACTAACTTATGAACCTGATTAGTACAAAATATGAATTCAAAGATAACAAATACGTTACAGAGTTTTTAACCGCAGTTGCCACCTCAGATCCCTATTTTTCAGCCGTCGTCCTTTGCACCGTTCATCCTCATGCAGTTTATCAACCAAACGAAGTCAGCTGATTATAGCCTTTATCCAATACCCCGTTTAAAGCCAATATATGTATGCGGCACAGTGAAATAGTGTCTATCGTCACTAGGAAACCGAGATATTCCACTTCATTACTATATTGAAATACTCGACAAGAATACAATGTATTTTGTACTTTACGTTAACAAACTTACCTTACATATTGTCAGCTGTAAATGATAATCACTTCCACCTTGAACACGAAAACCCCACGGGGAATCTACTGATGCACGCCTTAAAGTAATATTGACTGGTGTGGTCTCCTCTGATTTCTTAGTTTGATTATGTCCACTACCAGTACCGCTACTTGTATTATTATTACAGCTACCGCTGTTCCCAGTAAGTAAATCCAATGCATTTGATAATGTTACGTGTGGTTTAGATGAATACATCACATTATTCGACTGTCCAGAGTACTTTACATTTGTATTGGCTTTAGACATTAATGAATGTCCTGGAGGTGGTTGACTTGCCACTGAACTAAAGTATAAATTCATTGTTATTTTCTGTTAAAACTGAATTATTTGATCAGTTTGAAGTGAAAGGAGTAATGTTATTTATTTCTGAATAGTGTATTAAGGAGCTACTATTTATACTGTCTGCCCAGGGGATAACACATAAATGTATATGCTATCTATGAAGTGAGAAAAAGATCAATATTCATTCATTCATAACCTTAAAACACACTTTAAAAGGTGTGTTTGTGGAAGTGAATATTTTTAAGGGAAGTTGAATTCATCCAATCTCTTTTATTTGTTCACATTTCTATTGGTTTATATTATGGATTGATGTGCATTTCTGCCTGCATAGTTTCAGCAGTTCATAATTGCATGCGTTCATGACAGACATACAAAAATGCGTGGTTAACTCGAAAAAGAACGTACAGTAGTGTCAGTATTCAACAGACTCTTTGACATAATTCATTATAAAGGTATACAACAGTCAAGACGACATTTTAAAGAATGCTTGGGTCATGGTTTGACAATAAATAGTGACTTATACTTTATGCCATAATATACTCCTTACAGGTGAATCACAAAATCTGACAGTTATGTAAAGTTTAGCTGTAACTCCGTAAGATAGTAGTATACTTGTATTTCATGTTAAATAAGAAATACTTGAGTGTTTGCTCTTTATATTACAGCAATTAAGCGGTCAGTTGTTTCTTTTTCAGTGCCAATCAGTCAAATAGCATGAAGTTACTATGGTTAGGGTGATCATCATCAATATTAACACAGGACCAGGCATTTCTGTATAGCGGTTCAAGTTACCAAACCTCATGTCAGCGCATCAAGTCACAAAGCAGTAAGATAAAAGACGAAGAAATAAGAAGAGTTTGCCGAAAACAGTAGAAAGTAGTGAAAGAGAGAAAGGAGGAATAAGAAAATGATGAATGCAGTATCACGATTACACTGAGGATAATGTGTAGACACAAGTACGCTACTGAGATGGATTCTGAGCCATGTCACATGGAGTCTCTAACCATTGGTTTCTATTGTCATGCGTACTCCTTGCACAGCCCGAACCAGCGGCCAAGGACTTCATGCAGTGATGCCATGCCTTAGTCTGGTCTTCCCTTGCCATTTTTCAGACTGAACCTACTTCAGTCAACATTAGACGGTGAGGTAGACGGTGATTAGGCATGCGTAACATCTGTCCCAGTCACCTAAGCAGATCAAAAAAAACTAAAAACTTGGTCTGAATACAACCCTAATCTGAGTCTTTTTTAAGAATTATTCTCCGTTTTTATCCACATTATTCCAATAATAGGGGAGAAATCTTTGGTTAATTACTGTAGATGACATAGGCTCGCTTCTGTTTTTCACTAGTAATTTTGCTAACTTCCTACCATTTTTGTAATGTAACTACTAAAACTTCAAATTGCAGTTTAGTTAATCTATAAAGGGAACACTCATCTGTTACAAATATTTGTGTGAACGGCACATTTAAAAAACAATGTGGTCACCCAATTAATGATTGCTATCATTAATGTCATGCATACCTCAGCATAAGTTAACCTGTGAATTTTTAACTCACCTCTGACTACTTTCTAGTTACTCCTCAGTAAACTAAAGAACCATGTAACTGTATTTTATGTATATGTTCTCAGAGTGGTCAGACCAAGATGTAACACCAGGGCACAGTCTCTAACTGTTGGTTTGAGCCGAGTAGGCTTTCGTAGACTATTTGTCTTTTACCCCCGAAAAGATAGGAATCAGAGGTTGAAGACGCTGGGTGGTGTGGCTGAAAGACGGTCACAGTGGTGCAGATACATACACTCCTTGTAGCTTTCTAAAGCTTGAATGTTGTTTTGTTCTGTCACACAACTTTCTCTACTTTGATATCATCCTTTCTCCATCCACTTGTTCTTTGTATACTATTGTGAAGTGTGATAACTTGAACCGACACACTTGTGTGCAAAGTACTACATTGATTTTGTCTATCTGTGTATTCTCAACCAATATAAGAGTAAAACTTGAGCACCATGTTAGAGTATAATTCCATAGAATATACATATGGGCCAAACACGACTTATGTTTCCCTTGCGAACCATAAACCTTAGTCTTGTACAATGGTAGATTTTGGTTGTTTTTATTCTCAACCTCAATACGACAATGGCTGAAATGTTTTCCTACATATTTCGCAACCTCTAACCAGTTCGTGATGGTTGTATGGTGTGGCCTAGTTTGTGAGTAATTACCATAACACATCTATTACAAAAAAGCCAACTGCAGCTTTGGCATAAAAAAGTGCAAATAATTTGAAAATGACAGAAACACTTGATGCTTCATCATACAATAATCTATCAATTACTGGAATGAAAAACGTTTAACCAATACGTTTCAGAATGATTTATTCTTTGCATTTTTCGGAGTTTCGTCTTACATTGCAGTTTCGCTTCTGTGATTTACACCTTTGTTCTTGTTACACTGAGCTCATGATTTAAGGGAATAAAATTTACAAAAATGATTATAATATGCATAAAACCTGAATGTATTCTACTACATGTGTCACTAGCAGTGAAACTATTCTTTTCTACTGTTTTCTTTTTACTTCCTACTGTATAAGTCAACCAAGCTGAGTTAACAAGTATCTATGATATAAGTTTCACTCCTAATCTCTTTTCAGTAGTGGAAATCACTGTGGGCGATTGGCTGTTCAAGCTGTAATGTTGCTTTGGTAATGACTTACGTTCATAACTTGGTCGATCAAGCTTATCCTAAGCGTGTTATAATTGTCACAAGCAGAAGTTATTGTCAGTGGAAGTCTGTGCACAAGAACATTGGACCGGATAGTTGGTGAGTTACTCAAACATATGAGAAATAGATTTCATACTAGTATTGTTACCTTTGTTTTCAATTCAGATTCTCACAAGAGAGAAAAACAAAAACGACAAAACGTTGTTCTGGGGTTTTCTTTTGTTGATTTCCGAGATACATTTCAGTGAAAGACATCCCCTTTTATTTGCGGTCAGAACTTGCAGGTACGTACTTGGAATTTTTTGGATGCAGACTTAATGAAAATGAGATAAACTTCAGTTAAAAGGGTTATTGCACTTGGTTAACATATCATAACATTTCATATGAAAATCCATCATTTCTGTGTTTTGAATGGAGTTTGCGCTTACTTCTACAGTCTTCTTAAAGTAATGGGTCATCCGGTGATGTCTTGTATCATGTAATTTTGTGTCTGATGAATATTGATTTCCTTTCCTGATTAGAAATGACACTTACAAAGTTAGGCAGTTTTCAACCTATTAAATTCCAGATGGTAAGTCTATTGAATGAGATAACTAGTAAAGTCCAGCCTTCGGCAGTCTACAGTTTTTGAAGGAATAGAGTACAACCCACTTGTTATTGTCATTTTTGCACATCCTAGTTGTCCAGATTCAATGTAACATTTTGTCAAAGTTAATTTTATAAACTCGAAAGAAATATGAATCATGGGTTCATTAATCGGTCAGGTACAAGAATTTATTGGTTCACATTCGAGCTATTTTGATTAAATCGGTACTTTTGGCATTCCTTAAACTCCTCTACAAATTTGTTTTTGATTACATTCATTTTTTCAGCTGTTCACTACTGCTACCGCTTCTTATATAAGGCCTTTCACTGTTTCCTTATTCCTTTCTTTGTATCTGTTACACTGAAACTACAATAGCAGACTTCATTTGTGTGAATAGTTTTCACTTTGTTAAATTCTACACTTTCATATTTCTAACTAAGTTATTTTATATCTTTAAACATAGTTAACTGCTTTATTTCAGAATACTATTTTATGACGCAATTTTAACCTGTTATTGAATAAGAGATTATTACCTTTTTTTATAGCCATGAATAAGATTTGTAACCTTGGAAGAATATCTCATCTATAATAAAAGTTTTCCCATAGAATTACTTCCTTCTTTAGCAAGACCTATTTCAAATACCAAATTGTTGTTTGCCTTAAATTTAGTGTTGAAAACAAATCATCAAAGTTGTAGTAACTAATATTCTTAGTCTTTTCGCTTCTATAACCTTAAGCGAAACAAATCTGATTACTTGTTTAAAACAAAAAGATAAGAATCAACTTAGCGTCCTTTTCATAAATGTAAAGCTTTTTTAGTTAAAACGTGTAACAAATCACCCTGTATTGCTTTTATTAGTCGACATCATCACGGTTTGTACCAGAAAACTGTTCGTTTTATATTCAATCACCTGACTAGAGCCATTAGCTGAACGTGATCATATTCGGTCAATTTATAATGAAGAAATTGTGATACTCCTTCTGGCAGTAAAAAGATAACTAACTTCATCAAATGAAATTAATAAAAAGTTTCACTAAACAATACGTGAATAGGTAGAAGTTTCTTATCAGTACCTCTAATGATAAAATCACGTGTTATTGTTACTCTACACAAAATTTTTAACTGTGTCCTGACATAGAATCCTTAATTTTGCAAGCAACCAAGTGATTTCTACTAAAGTGTCTTAATGAAGATACCTTGAGAAAACGTATTTGGTTTTAAAACTTATCCAGACTGAATAAAAGATGTAAGCATAATTAGATTTTCCTGCTGGTGTCAAATAATAGCCACTTTAACTAAAACTATTGCTTATGAAATATAAAATACTGTATGATTTGCAACGATGCTTTTGACGCATACATAACTTTTTACCGATATAAATATAGCTGGAAACACACCAGTGACTACAAAAGATTAGGATCTCTAAAATATAATGTTTATGTATTTTGAAATGTCCTCATGAACAACACAGATAGACAGACACAAAATCAACGCAGAACTTCGCACACAAGTGCATCATTTAAAGTTGCCATATGTCATGGTAGCATACAAAAGAACAGGTGGGTGGAAGAAGAGTGATATTAAAAAAGACAAGGTTGTCTGGGAGAATAAGTAGTTTGAAGATAAGGGATAGTGCGAATATTTACGCCATACAAGGTGTCAAGGAGTGATCCATTTGTAGTCCTGTCATCCAGAGTCCTCAAACACTGA